GTCCCGAGCACGCGCCGGCGATCTCTGTCGCCGCGGCGGCGGCATCAAAGTAGGATTTCTAATGACGGCAATTCTCTGTCGCAGCGGCACCGGCGATTCTATCGCTGTGACGGCGCTAAACCCTGAGAAATCAAGTCCTAATAGGAAGAAACTCCGGACAAGTAATTAAATATCAAACCAAAAGCCTTAATCAAAACTGAAAGCTTGACAAATAGGTTGAAAATATCTCAGTATGTTGTAGCCAAGAAATTCTAGCAATTGGACACCAAATGCACTTGCCCTGCAACCAAAGTCGGCAACAATGAAATTGTTGACCGTGTTGACTTACGTTGACCGACGACGTTGACCAAACTTTGATTGCTGGTAACTCATATGCACTGTCTCTGATGATGATAATATTTGGTGGCAAGTGTTTTCCAAATTAGGAATACGATACCGGTGGTAATGAATCTTAGATTTGAAAGAAAGTACATCCGGAGAAAATTTGAATTAGTAGGTTATGTGTATTTCGGGAAAAAAATAGGTTCTGATACCATGTAAAAATGTTTTAAGAAAACTTGAAAACGACGGGACTTTGAACCGGAAAACGACGGGCTTTCACTGGAGGTAGAAACACGGAACTATCATTGTAGTAAAAAACATTCCAGCTCCATACTTTTTGGCTCTGGTGAAAGTTCTGAATTTTCTGGCTCTGGTGATAGTTCCCTGTTTTCGACTCTAATTCAGTTGAGGACACGGGTTCTGATTCTGGCATGATGGATGATTGTGGCTGCATCATTTTCGATCTCTCTTTGCAAACTCAAGTTAGTTTATGTTATAACACTTGAGTTTGAGGGGAATATTGAGATATTTTAGATATTCAATTTTAAATTTTGTAGATTTAGATATAGATTTGATCTGATCCATAGATTAGATTATTTAGATTTGAGTCTATCGAGTCTGTTTTATATTTCTTATATATAAGCATCTTATTTTTATGATTACTATAATACAATTTTCCAGTTTTCATAATTTATTTTCACATGGTATCAAAGACTACTTTTCTCCTACAGTAGATATAGTCTACTAACCCACGATTCTCCGGGTGCATTCAACCTGGAACGTACCGGGAGGTCTCTCAAATTTAAAACTGCTTTGTTTTGTTTGTATTTTTTTTTTTATTTTATGGCGTTAACGAAGTTCTTTCAATTTTGAGATTTGTCTGCAATTGATCATTCGTCAAGTTTATTTTTCAATTTTGCGTTGACCTTTGATCGTTTATCATGATCAAGTACAAAACGATGTTTTCGATTGCATTAAGAGTCCCGTTGTTTTCCTGGCTCCGATGAGTTCCGTGTTTTTCAGTTTCATGTTCTTTGTCTCTTATGAGAGTTCCGTGTTTTTCAATTCTATGTATTCTAGCTCTGGAGAGAGTTCCGTATTTTGCAGTTTCGTGTTTTCCGGCTCTAGTGAAAGTTCTGTATTTTCCAGTTCTATATTTTTCGGCTCTGGTGAGAGTTATGTGTTTCCGACTCTAGTTCAGTTGAGGGCACTGCTTCTGATTTTGGCATGATGGACGATTGTGGCTGCGTCATCTTAGATTTATCTTTGAAACTCAAGTTTCTTTCTATTACACCACTTGAATTTGAAGGGATGTTGAAATATTTTAGATATTCAATTTTAGATTTAGTAGATTTAGATTTAGATTTAGATTTGATCTAATCTATATATTAGATTATTTAGATTTGAGTATATCGAATCTTTTTTATATTGCCTATATATAAACCTCTTATTTTGATGATAATATAATGCAATTTTAAACTTTTCATAATTTATTTTCATAGAATAAAGTGAAACAACCATTGCCAGATTAAATGAATATTCAACGGAATTGAGTCTAGAAATAGAAACTATACTTTGTGAAACATAATGTACATAAAGAGTCTAAAATCAATCTAAATGGTGTCCAGAATCTAAAATTAAACTGTAGGTCCCTATGGCTTCAACAGGAGCTTTGACTCGATTCTCCATAAAAACAAAAAAATTTCATTTGGCTTTGTGGTTTGGATCGTAAGAAATCATTGCAAGGAATTGGAAACATGAGTAGTATATCCAGAATCAAGCCACTAAGTATTATGAAGAACTTTAATTAAACTCGATTCGAAACATACAAAAGCATTAGTACCTTTTTTTCTAGAACCATGCCTTTCGTTTTAGACAATCTTTTTGAATTGAGCTCCTTCTTTGGGGCTTGGACAGACGACGTATTCACTTTCAATGGTCCATGCTTGCCTTTCCCTTTCTTGTTCCCGGCTCTCTTACCAACTCCTTGATTGGTAACGAGATGAATTGAATGAAAACCCTGATTTTTAAGCTGTGTTTCCTCCTGAACTAGCATAGTATGAAGTTCATTCACATTTTTTTTATCTTTCATGGTGTTATAGTTCATTTGTAACGGACTGTACTCAACAGACAGTGAATTCAAGATAAACTGCACTAGAAAGTTATAATCCACCGTCATCCCCAAAGACTTTAGTCTTGCTTCCAGATTCGTCATTTCGACCACATGCTCGTGAATGAATTGCGAATCATCAAACTTCATGGTGGTTAGCGTAGCTATTAGTGTCCCAGCAAGAGACTTATCCGTAGTTTGAAAGCGTTCCCAGACTATTTTCGTAATTTCCTTAGTATTTTCAATTTAAGGAAGTATAGACTTTACGTTGCTTGCTATACTCATCCGCATAAGCATCAAATTAATCTGTTCGATTTCTTCCGAGCATTATAGAGAGATTTTTCACCTTTACTGCTAGTATAGTAATAGCATTAGACTTTTCAACATAGAGTGGTAGGTAGGCCTAAAAGCATCATAATAAAAGCGTCTCATGCTAATGGATAATTGAATTTCTATTTAACTTGATATCTACATAGATAACTTTCTAATCCGGCAGCTTTAGTAAATAATAAATTATTCACAATTTGGATATCAAATTAAATAATATATTTAATATAATCCACGAACTTAATCCTATATTAGTGAAATGACTCACATTATAGTAGCACAATTTAAATAATCACATTAATTCAATAATTAATTAGTACACATTCTATAAATATATATTTCATTATTTATTTTATTTACACATAAGACGAATGTGAAATTCACGTACAAGAATATAGATCATATATTCATGCAAGAAAACTCCATTAATTATGGGATTAAAGTTTGACTAATAAGGAATAAACTAATTCCATAATATATTATTATTAGATATTGTCTTAAATAGTAATTAATTTAACTAACAAAACATAGGCATATACAAAAGTATATCCCATACACAAAATATTTCTATTAATCTGGTAAACTTGAGATATACTTGATATACTGCAGAATGATTAATCTGATATACACTGATATACATTAATTTTGCAAGGTATTAGGTTCGGCCGGGGTTTACCCAGTGCGCACTTTCGGGTAGCGGCTGCGGGTTCCCACATCATCAAAAATAAATAAATAAATAAATATTGCATAGGGTAATTGAATCTCATAGTCATAATCACATAAATTGTCTCACTAAATCATAATAATATTATTCGCATCTCTCAGATGGAAAAATCTACCCTTTCATATATCTAACAATTGATTGGAGAATTCACAAGTTCAAAACCTAAAGTTATGATATCACATGTAAGCATAAACATGAAAATACATTAATAATTCTGCATTCTTACAATATTGTTACAAGATAATTAAATAAATATACTAACCTTGATTGGGATTCATTTCGTTGAACAAATTGATGAGGATAGAATTATGATTTCTCCCTCTTAGCCTTGATCCCATAATACGTGAGGTCACTTGAGTGATAGAAGTAAGTTAACAATATAAAAAATTAAAAAACACGTTCCATCAGCGTGGGATAATGAGAAAGTTCTTTTAAACCACTTTTAATTTTTTACTAGACCAAGTTCAATAATAAGATCTAGTGTGTTCGTTTATGAGATTTTTCCAAAATTCTACTATTCATAAAAAAAAATTCTCTAGAAATATCAAATTAAATATTTTTTTTTGTTTTATATTATACTAAAAATTAATTTTACATTCAAAACATCACGTTAACATCTATTTGTATCACATTATAGAACTATTACAATTTTAAATTTTTACTATTCAAATCTCAACCCAAAGTCCAAACCCCTAAATAAACACACCCATTGTTATTATTATTATTTTCATTATATTTAAACCATTAGTCAGATATACTAAATTTTTAGATTTGATAGATTCATATCCATATCTATATTCATATCCATATTTATCATATCATATCATATCTGTGATTTAGTTTGTTAGGATCATTTCTAAATACCTCTCTATATATATATATATATTCTTCCTTCTCTTTTTTTATGGAATGAAATAATATTTTCTCTCCATTTCTCTACTCTAATTTTCTACATAAATATATCTAATTAATTAATGATACGAAGTCACATCTTACATCATCTCACACCATTCTAAAGGGTGTTTCGCATCAATCAGAAAGACAAGTTTCTAGAATTCTCTATGGGCAATTGATTACCAACTGGAATTAACACCAAGTAGATCTCTGCTTGGTTGACATGATAGATGGGAGAGGCTGTAGCTCCTGTTCGAAAATGTAGTGGGGATGCTACTGGTACAGTAATGCTTGACGCCAACTGATACATGACTACAGGAGTTTGACAAACATCAAAATAACTCCCAACTAAGTCCTAATTTACACTGACTTGGGGTATGAAGTGCATGGATGTTCCAACTTGAACTTGAGGTTGGAAGGCTCTTGCAGAGTCTATTCACCTCTTCAACAGTTTGAAATTGCATTCCACGCACCATATCAATTCTAATAATCCATGACATAACTCCCTATATGTTTGACCAAGGCTCAGCATTTGGATGAATTAAATCACTAATGAACTTGCTCATGTTCATATGCATCATTATTAACTACTGAAATGTGCTAGCATTTTTTCGTGCTTTGTAGTTTTCTCAAAATGGAGAAAATCGAGTTGTCGTTGGAACTCTAGACATAAATCAGTGTATGTCTCTTCCAGGTGAAATCATGGGATTGAAGCCTCAGGTATTTCATGTCATGCGTCACTTATTTTCTTCCATCTTTCTAATTTATAGTTTTATTTATTTATATTTTATTTTTAATTGATTTTTAAAGCTCAACTCCCCACCCATCTCTAATATGGATGCAGAATAAATTCTCAAACAAACTTGCTATTGTGGCAAGGGTATCATTATCATGGTTGCAGTTTATGATATTTCTTATGTTCATACATGATAACTCTAAAATTAAATTGCAGTTAATATGATTGAGTCTTTGAGCTAGATGAGCCTTTGCAAGGTCTTTAACACACATTATCCACTTTCGCAGGGAATCGGTGCTGATTTTGCCAGGGCATATATTAGCAATGTATGTGTGGCTAAAGAGTTACATCGAAATGGCTTGGGCTATGAGCTGATTCAAGAGTCAAAGAGGGTTGCAGAACATTGGGGTAAGGTTCTCAGTCGGTTATGCAAAACATATAAATTATGCATCTGTGTGCTAGTCTTATCTGTATTTTTATCATTATATAAGCTAGCATTGTAGTGTTTTTCTTGGGATCTTCCTGGTCATTATGAGTTTGCACAAATAGACATGCTTCTCTTCCATCCACAAAATTTGAACCTTAATCCCCGACTAAGGAATGTGGTCATGAGGGTATTGATTATGGGAATGTATTTTCATTCTACCTAACTAATTAATACTCCCTTTGGATTTTATGATGATGTTTGTTGTTTGTAAAAATATTAGGAATACGCGACTTGTATGTTCATGTTGCTGTGGACAACGAGGGTGCTAAGAACCTATATTTGAAGAGTGGGTTCGAGTTGGAGAGCGAAGAACCTGCATGGCAAGCCAGGTTTTTGAATAGGCCCCGGAGGTTACTTTTGTGGACAGCGCTTCCAATAACATATGAATTATAAGGCACAGTATTTATTCACTATATTCCCATCCCAATCCCATAGATAAGGCAGGCGGCATGGTATGTAATTTAAATAAAAATCTTATAGTTGCTCGCACCCAATGATAGGTACGGTACAGTAGGCTGCGTACATTCTTGTATGATACCATCAATCACTCTCTAGACGTTATTTATCCTATAATCTATTATTATTATTATTATTATTATTATTATTATTATTATTATCATCATTATTATTATTATTATTATTATTGTTGTTGTTATTGTTGTTGATCCCAAAAATTTGTCCAATCAAACAGCAAACAAAGATAGTGCAAAAAAATTGATCGGCACAGATTTTAAACACACGTCGACTCACGCAGACAAACAATTCATGAATCGATCAATTAACACACGCACACTCAATGAGCTTAAAAATAAAATGCACGAATCTCATAACCTAGTTTGGTCACAAGAGATCTACATCTGGGGGGGTTTCAATGCTAATTTACCTCATCTAGGCTCCCTCGTTAGAGCACAAAACACTTAATCTCACGTGTCAATAGCAAAAGTAGGCAAAGGTTGAAGGGTTAAAAATAAATGTACAGTGACTAACAAATTTATGTAAGGAGGGAAAGAGAGAGAAGACTTTGGCTTGGTTTCTTCTGCATCGAGGTGGTGTCAATTTCACATCAACTTATGGCAATCAAATTTAAAGCCACTGGATATCACTAATTTCGATTGAGGGAAGTAAAGCCGTCTAAATGTAATGAGAAGTCTTCGATAATAGACTCAGTGTTTGTGCTCTTAGTAGGCTACACCCTTTCCCTAGCTCACCCTTTCATTCTCTGTAAATCAATCTATTACCTGCTTTCTCACTTATGGAATCTTGCTCACTCCACTACTACGACTTATCCCACCAATTTTTTTTGCAATAGATAACAAATAAATTTTATGAATTGTTGTCCCCACTAAAGTTCTATGACAACCAATTTGTTATATTATCACATGGGGACCAGTTATTGTGATTTTTCGTCTGAGGTATCAATTTATAATTGGGTCAACTTCTTGAATTTGGGCTCACGAACTTAGACATATGGTTTCTGAGCTGTCTGGCCTACCTGCAAACATCAACTAAATTCAATAAAAAAATATTATTTATTTTTAACAATTTTTCCTTTTTTAGTTGATGTTTACCCACTAACAAATGAAGAGTGCAACAATGCAAACAAACAACACAGATGAACTCCCCTTCAAGTGCAAGCAAGCGATTACCCCCTCAAATAGCCAACCAAGCCGCCAAACATCCAAATTCAATAAGAAACCGATCATCAAGTTTAAACAACAAATGGCATGAGAATGCTCAACAAACAGTAGACATAACAACAAAAGCACCAGCATATACTACTCCCATTTTGGGAAACATTATCCTAAAAAGGGAAGAATACAATCAAGTCAAAAAAGCTTGAATCAATATTTAAAAGCAACCAAGGTTGAGGAAAAAAGATATACCTTCCCATCTTCTCCATCTGACTTGTCTGTTACTCGTCTTATCAACCTGCATATGTGTTGAAATATATGGGTATTGCGAGAATAAATGTGAAACCAAGTCGAGGATGGATCCTCTTTGCGAAAATTAGATACGCCCCAGTAGTGCCTCCAGTGGATGTCGTTCTAACCCAAAGATAAAACGGTTTCCTTCTTTAATGAGAGTGGCACCTCTAATCGTTGGAGCTCCGGCGAACAAGACGAGAAGGGGACTGAGCTGGGGAGGCTGCCAGAAAGCTAGAAGAGATGAGAGAAGGACGAGAGGATTGTTTGTATTGGATGTTAGAATGAAGGGGGAGGCCCTTTATATAGGCGTCTCCACTTGGCCAAAATGGTAGGGGATCAATTACGATCATAATTACGACCTTAATTATCAATGTAATTAATTATAAATTCAAACCTTCCGTTTGTGACGATCGTAATTTATTCTAATTTTAAACCTTCCGTTTGAAACGATTGTAATTTATTCTAATTTCAAACATTCCGTTTGAGATTATACTAAATCTATCCAACGGATAATATTTTATCCAAATAATATTGCGACTTAGGCTATATACCTGGGTTTAATTTGGGGTTGCACAATTTGGTTTGTCTCGAGAGAATCAAAATAGCCAAAATATTAACTAAACCCCATATACAATAAATAAATAATATTTATTTATTTCTTCCAAATTAATCTAATTAATTTGGTACACCGGCCCGTCGCATTTTCACTCACAAAATAATCGATTGCAAAATAACCAATTATCTAACAATCCCCCACATGAGTGAAAATGTCCATAAATGACAGAAACTCAGCTCAATCCATGTGAGACATTGACACACCAGGACAAGTAGTTTTTGGCTTTGAACCTTCCATAGTCAACATTACGGAGTGTACTGGTGGCCCAGTTGACGTGATGCATTGAACTGTTCCACCTCTGCGTGCACTTAGTCAATAATATTGACGTGTCGCTATCTCAGTCTCAACTTTGTTCTCACGTTTAGATCTATTTCGGCCATGGATCTCGTCTTTGGATTCATAAGTGTTTCATTTGAAGCGGCTGATGACTCCAAATATGAGCATATTCTTAGCTTGACAAAAATGTGTATTACTTGAATTTCTGCATAAGAATCATCAAAATAATTCGTAATCGGCATACAATATTGATTTATATCACCAGGCATGATCCAGAATTCGTTGTTGAGACTATTAACGATTTTTTGCCCTCTTAAGCGGTATTCTGGAGCCAGAAAAGCTAAGGCAGACGCCGCAAGCGACAGCCGCCTTCGCTCGCAAGTGCCCAAGACACACCTTGAAAACATTAAGGCATGAGAGGCAAGCGGCCACCTTCATAGCCGCAAGCGATAGCCTCTCCCGCTTGCAAGCTTCAGTCCAGATACCCGCCGCTGCAGACTTTCACCAGATTTCAACTAAGTACTTCAAATGCAGCGGTACAGCCATTCCAAATCCAGCTAGCTCAAGCGAGCCGTGCTACGCTGATGCCCACCTGTTCTCCAGCAAGCGAGGAAGATCTGTGCCATCAACGCAAGCGAAGCGGACACCCTGGGAGTTATGGCCAGCAACTGCTTCAACAGAATAACCACCTGCAACCGCCTAACTGCCCAGCGGTTGGAACTGCCCAACAGCTTCTTGCAACCGTCTCGTTACACCTGCTATAAATAGGGCCAGATATCTGTATGTATAGGAATCGAATTCTTGGATAATTTCAGAATACACAGCGTTCGTCGTCTTCCTGTTTCCGAGAGCTCCAACCCTGTAAGGGAGTTCTCCACAGGAAAGGCCAAGGGAGTGGGCGTCTTCCCTCTCCCTTGGCCACGTCTTTAATGCTTTCTTAGATTAGATTATTGCTTTCATTTACAGCTTTGTAGTCTAATCCTTTTCGCGGTTTCGTAGTATATAAGGAAATATCATTCACTTCTTCAGATTAAATTCTTCCACAATTTTCCATACTTATATAAATCAATTTTAGAGAATTCCATATCACTGGTATAGAGCGAGAGACGAATTGATTAATTAAGCCTTGTGATGTGCCAAAAGCGGTCTCAAGGTAGTTCAACGTAGTTAAGTATGCGGGAGCCTTGTCGACCTACTTAACTACTGTGCTAAATTTGATTCTGATAAAAGAGAACCAACATCAGGGGGTAAAGCCACTAATGAGGCAGAAATTGGGAAAATTAATGGGACATAGACGGGGGTCTATTAGGTCGCAGAAATTCCTAGTGACAGTAGGGTTTCTTTCTTATAATGTCTTAATTTTGGGTGTCATTGAAGTCTTGTTGTAAATCCCCCCAGGCCAAAATACCAGTGTGATGAGTTCTTTATAATCGAGTTTATATAATTACAACATCTTTCTATCATCATTTTCGTAATATACATATATGCTTCCGATAACACAATTACGTCATTCGCTCGCTGCATCCAGGGAAATCTACCCATTTCGTAACGCACAGTTCAGACACAACACCTCTTTTTCACTCTAATTCGCTCATATACATATACATATAATATGCCGCTCACTCACATCCCAATCCTCTCGCTTTCGCTTCGCTCGCCTCCGTTCATTTTTACTGCTTTATTTACCGCTTTCAGTAGTAGAAGATTTATGCCCGCTCCAAGCGGACCCCTTTTTGTTTCTTCGTCGCTTCTCCAAGATTTCTACCATTGAAATTCATGACTTTAAATCCCGGTGTTCGACCTAGAAACTCACCAGTAAAAAGAGTATAAATAATTGTGATAACTATCCAGGGTCTACAACCACACAATTGCTATATCTGACCATTCTTCTATAAAAACTCTACTCATTGATTTTCGAATAAAATTCCCTGCGAATCGATATACAACATACAACAACAAACTATATCTTTCTGTTATCATAATTTGGCGCCGTTGCCGGGGATTTGAAACTCATGAAAAGTATCTGTTGGAAATCTTTTGAAGCGCCATAATTTACCCTTAATTCGTTGTAATCATGCTTTTTGTATTTAATTAAATTCTTCTAACTTTAAATTTTTTGTATGTGGCTGCCATTTTGTAGGGGTCCGAAGCGTTTTCAGCGTCCCACGAGTCCTACTCCCTCCGCTCGATCACAGAGACGTCTGTTCCGAGAGCAAGTGCGAGAACAACTCATGGCGAATCAAGGAAATGCCACCGCTCCTCCTACTGTCATCCCAGCTTTCCAGACTGCCGCTGGGACATCTTCAAACTCCGCCACATCTGCATCTTCGCAGGAGGTGCCGCTCCACGTCCCCACTGTGGTCCCTACTGTCATTCCTCCTGCACTTTCACAGACTGAGGAGCAACTATTGAGAGCCCTCAGTAGCATTCAACAAGGAATGGCGGGGCTGCAAGCGCACCTCGCTCAGGTGGAACAAACTCAAGCTGCGCAGGGAGCATTTATTGCTTCCCAAGCGGCACAAGCTGCCACCACCGCTGCGATACCCACAACCATCATTCCCCCACCACCTACTGCTGAGCCTTACCAGAGGGCTGAGGGTCATAGGGCTGCTGATCGCCCACTTGCGGAAGTCCCCATGGATGTTCACTACCAGACCCTTCTGGATCACACTTTAATTACAAGTTCTGCGCCCAGAGGCTCTGGCCATTATGAGGTGAAACCAGCGCTCGTCAGCCTGGCGAGCCAGAGCCAATTTCATGGGCTGCTCAATGAAAGCC